CGTTTCCATGTCCAATTCGCTACTGGATCCGCCATTTAGCGCCATCTTCTACCAGTCAATTTTCTCCGCTTAGGCCTAAGGACGACTTTTCCCCATTGTTGACGTCATAAAAGAGTTCTTAACAACGATTGGGGCAGTGGCTGAACTACCATAGGGACTGCTTGAACCATGGTGGAACCAAGTCCACGGACCCCTACCCACCTGAGTCCACAGGCCCCGAGCATCTTGGAGCCACTGAATCGGGGCATGGTTGTCTTTGCGGATGAGATCTCGGATGCCTTTGAAAGACGGTTGTACATTGCCTTTTTTTTTTAGTTAGGCTACTAGGCCTATCTTTGTACGTGTTGATATTGCCCTATACATGACGTCATTGGTTTTAATTACAGGCAAGAATGTTACAGCCTCTCCCCGAAAAATTCCCGTGACATATCGAATTGAAAATTCTCCAAGGGGAGAGGGAGGGGGTCAAATATGGGATGTGTCCCTCGAGGCCAGGGTCTGGTCTGCTGCAGGAGTTGACAAAATTTCACTTCACAGTGGTTACGTTATACTAATGGTGGTTGTGGGTTCTAATTTAGGTTAGTGTGTGAAAATTTGATTTTCAAACAAAACCTCTACAGGAACAGTCAATAAGTTTGTATATTGGTCCAGAGGGGGTGGGGGTGTCTTTCAAGGCCACGGGCTTTCAAGGATTGGCACAATTTCGCCCATTGCACACTTCACATTGGTTACCTTGTAATAGGGGCGGCGTTCCGGGTAACCTCCTTTTGGGGTACGGGTCGACTAATGGGTGTGGGTGCTATAGGGTGTCACAGATATAGTTCAGGGTCAGTTTGTAGGCCAAATACTAATATCAGGAACAGTTAATAAGTTTATATATTATAGTTAAATATATACATACATAAAATATACAACAAAATGCACGGTTACAAACCAAACTAGGCCTTTTCTCAAAAAATTAATTTAGATAGAATCCAGATTTTAAGAAATACAGTAATCTGATTGGATGATAAAACTAAATTTAGAATCGATGTTAGTGATTGACCAATCAGATGACTGAATACTAAAATCATCTTAAGTTAAGAAATACAGTAATCTGATTGGATAATAAAACTAAATTTAGAATCCATGTTAGTGATTGACCAATCAGATGACTGGAATACTAAAATCATCCTAAGTTAAGAAATACAGTAATCTGATTGGATAATAAAACTAAATTTAGAATCCATGTTAGTGATTGACCAATCAGATGACTGGAACACTAAAATCATCTTAAGTTAAGAAATACAGTAATCTGATTGGATGATAAAACTAAATTTAGAATCGATGTTAGTGATTGACCAATCAGATGACTGAATACTAAAATCATCTTAAGTTAAGAAATACAGTAATCTGATTGGATAATAAAACTAAATTTAGAATCGATTTTCATGATTGACCAATTAGATGACTGGAAAACAGAAATCATCCTAAGTTAAGAAATGCAATAATCTGATTGGATAATAAAACTAAATTTAGAATCGATTTTCATGATTGACCAATTAGATGACTGGAAAACAGAAATCATCTTAAGTTATGAAATACAGTAATCTGATTGGATAATAAAATTAAATTTAGAATCCATGTTAGTGATTGACCAATCAGATGATTGGAACACTAAAATCATCTTAAGTTAAGTTTTCAAGAATAAGGCCCCTGTACTTGATTTAAATGCAAATGTGGATGTTATGTTTCATGCTTTCTCTGCATGTGACTCCACTTCCCATCGCTGATCCGATAACATTCTTCGCTGGATTGTGTTCTGTAGAATTTTGATCCAATTTGAGAAGGAAACATTTATTAACAATCTTCTTAAACTGTAAATCTGTATTTTGTTACATGTTTTTTCTGTGGGTACTCTACTTTCCATCCACGATCTGACAAAAATGTATGCATCTTGTGTTCTAGGTCATTTAGTATTCAACCAATCAGATTCTCTCTTCAATACTCTATGTGAATAATTATGGGATATTTATAGTTATATATGTCTTCTTTTAACAGTGTTTTGATTGGTTAGCCTAGCTATTGATACCACAGAACACAAATTGTAGGAGAATATTGTAAGATCATGGATGGCAAGTGAAGTAACCCTCCAAAAAAAAAAACCATAATTAGTTAAAATAAATTTTGCCAACTTTTGATGCTATTGGGTAAAGTTTCTACAGAACATGATTTAAGAAAGAATCTTGTAAGATCATGGATGGCCAGTGTAGTAACCCTTTGAAAAAATAAATCACAATTAGTTAAAATAAATTTTGTCAACTTTTGATGCTATTGGGTAAAGTTTCTACAGAACATGATTTAAGAAAGAATCTTGTAAGATCATGGATGGCCAGTGTAGTAACCCTTTGAAAAAATAAATCACAATTAGTTAAAATAAATTTTGTCAACTTTTGATGCTATTGGGTAAAGTTTCTACAGAACATGATTTAAGAAAGAATCTTGTAAGATCATGGATGGCCAGTGTAGTAACCCTTTGAAAAAATAAATCACAATTAGTTAAAATAAATTTTGTCAACTTTTGATGCTATTGGGTAAAGTTTCTACAGAACATGATTTAAGAAAGAATCTTGTAAGATCATGGATGGCCAGTGTAGTAACCCTTTGAAAAAATAAATCACAATTAGTTAAAATAAATTTTGTCAACTTTTGATGCTATTGGGTAAAGTTTCTACAGAACATGATTTAAGAAAGAATCTTGTAAGATCATGGATGGCCAGTGTAGTAACCCTTTGAAAAAATAAATCACAATTAGTTAAAATAAATTTTGTCAACTTTTGATGCTATTGGGTAAAGTTTCTACAGAACATGATTTAAGAAAGAATCTTGTAAGATCATGGATGGCCAGTGTAGTAACCCTTTGAAAAAATAAATCACAATTAGTTAAAATAAATTTTGTCAACTTTTGATGCTATTGGGTAAAGTTTCTACAGAACATGATTTAAGAAAGAATCTTGTAAGATCATGGATGGCCAGTGTAGTAACCCTTTGAAAAAATAAATCACAATTAGTTAAAATAAATTTTGTCAACTTTTGATGCTATTGGGTAAAGTTTCTACAGAACATGATTTAAGAAAGAATCTTGTAAGATCATGGATGGCAAGTGAAGTAACCCTCCAAAAAAAAAACCATAATTAGTTAAATTAAATTTTGCCAACTTTTAATGTTATTGTGTCAAAATTCCACAGAACACGATTCAAGAAAAAATATTGTTAGATTAAAGATGACTAGTGTAATAACCCCCGAAAAAAAAAAAAATAAGTCAGTTTGCAAGTTTATAACCCTAGAGATTTTCGAACTGTCCTTTCTGCAACTTCCTGGAATTTTGTCTTATCTTCTCTCCAAGTTTTCGCAGCATCCACATTGGCGGCACTTTCATCATTAGGTTCTGAAATTAAAGACAGGTATTCAGAAACTTGTATGGCAGTTTAATTCAGATTTAGACCAAACTTTCGTTCCGTTTTTTATTAGCTTTTATTTTTAATATAGTCACTTCAGTTAGGGTCTATAGACAGCCCTCTTACACATTCATCCATTTGTTGACACCTCCAGTCAATCAAATTTCAGCTAGACAAAAAAATATCCAGTCGCTGATTTCCACCATGTCGATAATCACGTGAAGATCATGTAATTGAAAGGAAAATGATTCTGATTGGATGATGACGGTCTGTCTTACAAATGATAAAACTATCAGAGACAATTATCAAACTTGTTTGATATTATAAATCCTGTCGACAACCAATAATCTTGTTGTTGAACCGCGGGCACACATCAGATTTTACTCAAAATTTTACTCAGCGAAACATACCTGCCAACATGCTGACAACAGATAATAATATTTTTTCTACACTTTGAACTGGACTCCATCTTTCTGCGCTAGTTTCGTAACCCATGGGATCATCTCCGGGAGCGTGTAATATCGATATACAGACTCTACCATCGGGATAAACTAAAAATAGAACGGGTACACTCATTTTAATAAAATTGATAAAGAGATAGGTTCGTCATCTGTTAGACCAATCATACTTTAGTCTCAGAAATGGGAATTTTTTAGCTAATCAGTAATAATGTTCACATCTCACCGTCGAAATTTGAGCCTTCAAATCCATGTGTGTCCAGAATTATCTACGTTTGAGACTCTGCCATATATAGAAAAAACATCTATAGAAATAATAAATTTTTCTTACTGTTAGGGTGGAAGATTTCGCATGTAAATTTCATCTTCGGGGGGCTGAGAGGGTAATCGGAGGGGAAAGTAAGTCTGGCTGGGAATATCCCCCCCTCAAAACACGTCCCTTCTGGACCCCTAGAATTAAAAAAATTTTGATTAATATTTAAATGAATTGTAAAAGGTTTTCTAATTTTTTTTTATGTATATCAGGGACACTGATAGCTTCAATTTACATCATTCTAACTTTCAATCAGACGTCTGTGGTTCTTGTTAAAGAGATTGTAAAGAGGTTTTCTAAATTTTTTATGTGTATCAGGGACACTGATAGCATCAATTTACACCATTCTAATTTTCAATCAGACGTCTGTGGTTCTTGTTAAAGAGATTGTAAAGAGGTTTTCTAAATTTTTTATGTGTATCAGAGACACTGATAGTATCAATTTACATCATTCTAATTTTCAATCAGATGTCTGTGGTTCTTGTTAAAGAGATTGTAAAGAGGTTTTCTAAATTTTTTATGTAT